AATTACTGTTCCATGCCTGGCCATGTTTGAGGATGTTCACTACAATCAGGGCTCCATTCCAAGATACTAGTTTTATCTGTTTTGACCTCTTCTGATAACACCACCAGAGAATTACCTGTAAGTTGTATTAAGCTATCAAACACAGACCTTTCAACATTGCGAAAAATGCCTATAGGTTAATGATTTGTGAATTAGACCCAATTTATCCATGACAAAGTTTATTTTGTTTATTCAGTCAGTGCATTTGGGGTGGGATCTCAATTTGTGATTAAAATGGGTCTTTATACTGACCACTGATCATATTGTTATTACTACTTTATTTAGCTGTTGCTTTTATCTGAAACAGCCTGTATTTGTACACATTCACACAACTGGATATTTTGCTGTAGCAATTTGACTGAAGTACCCTGTTGTAGCAGTGCTCCACCAGGGATTCGAACCCACAGCCTTCCAGATACACGTCCACAGCCCTGAACACTTGTCCTCATGAAAGCGATCATACTTCTATTACACAAGTCAGTAAATGCAGCACAGCATTTAACAGAAAGTCTCAATATGCATAGTACATGAACATCCCATTTTACAAAGAGCGTAATGTGTATTGTAATTCTCATGATGCTGAAGAAGTCTGCCAGGATGATTCTGTCAACACCTCTCAGTATTCTGAACACTCCTATTGGATCCCTTAGCAATGCTCTCTGTTCAAGACTGAAAAGGTTCAGTTTGGTTAGTCTCCCATATCTTAAAACAGACTATTTCAAGTCTCTCTTCTGTGGATTACAGAGGAGTAATGTATTTTCTATATAGGTGATGGACAGAATTGTAAACAATATTCCACATATGTAAGGATATGACCTTATAGTTAAGCTATAACAAGTTCATGTTAAAAATTTCTCACTTCAAAGCAATCAAGGTAAAGTTTGGGAGAATCTTGCAATTACAGCAGTTGATTTATATCTATTAATGGTTAACTTTACAGTCAATGCAACAAACATCAGCTCCGTTCAAACATGACTTTTTCCACGTTTTGTAGTTCACGACAGCTAAAGGTACTGTACTCTCAGTCAAGTACTCACCCACAGTTCCACATGCCAGAACGCGAACAATATAAAACAGGCACATTTATATAAAAAACTGAAAAGCAGAAGAGACATTGATACAGCTAGCGGCCTCTTGGACACAAGCAGCAGGAGGGGCAGAGATAGCGATCTGTACCTTGAGACTGTTGTAGGCTGAGTCGGCGTTGCGGTCCTCATCTTGATCCGCTGTGCTCTTGTGCTCGTTCCCCTGAAAGGCAACGCAGCAAGGAGTCTGGGTTTAGTGGATGCAGCAGGCTGTTCTGCTGGGACAGACATTTGCTGATCGATATGCAGTGGTTCAATGTGGACGGACAATTTGAAAACTGTGCCATGTTCACCTTTCTTGACTCTTTTTTTTTACCAGATTATCATACAGTTTCGCGATCGTGAGTGTTCCTCTTTGCTGTTATTGATATATTAGCATGATCTTGCCCAGTCTCAGGGAGATCTTTAATTAAATAATTTACCGGACAGGAAAGGTCTTGTTGACAGGTCTTTTGTAAATTTATAAAAAAGGAGAAAACCAAAAACAGTAGCACCCTAGTCTAGACTAGAAGAAGGAGCAGCCTTTGTTCATGTGTAAGATCACAAAATACCAGAAAAGGAGAGAAGAAAGAAAATTTGTCACCCCATCAGATTTATTTTTTCAGGGTAAAGGTGGAAGGGTCAGGAAAACCTTATTTATGGCCAATGGCTTTAGTTAGGAGTGTAACTGTCTTATTCATAGCAAGACAACTAAATTACACATTATCTTTTCTACAGTTTTAAAATCTAATAGTTTATCATTATATTAACAAACCCCTGTTAGTAACACGAAGTGCTAAATGTATCCAAATGAACCACAAAAATGCAAGACATTAGGAGCTAAGGTGTACTGAAAGATAGAAGGCCACATTAGTTTCTTGACATTACTCTGTGATAACTTGTAATACTTTGTGATAATGTTGATAGAAAATACACAATTTACTGTATATCAATGTTCCAACTCCAGCAGCTTTTTAAAAACTGCGGACCTTTTATAATGTTCTACTGTACCTTACCACAGTATTTCTGTAATGGAGTTTCAATACAGAGAAGAAGAAGAGCATGCTCTAGAATCTCAACCACTCCATCTTTTACACACAGCCTCCACCACTCCTGCCTCATTAAATAAAAATGTCTCTCTTCAGAAAATCTCAAGGCTTTCTCAGAAACAGAGGAGAGATTTCTCATTGCTGTCTAAATATATAGAAACTAAGGAAAGACCAACATTAAAGTTTTTAAGAACCACTAAGTACCTACATTTTGCTGAATTATGCAGGGAGATGAACATGAATTTTTCACACAGTTTTTCTCCACATTTGGAAGGTTTGGTATAGTGCACCAACACAGTTTCTATTTCTGTCAATCCTGATTTTGAACAGTTTGGTTGTGTAAGACATCAAGGACTTGGTGCTTAATCGCTTTGCCTAATGAAAAGATTACTTCCACAAGGCTTTGACAGCCCTTGATCCGAGATTATCACTCCCACGGGGAAACTTCTTAAAATGGTCATAGGTTTGGTTTGGTTAAGTATGCTTATGAATTCTCTTACCATGGCTAACAGGTTGACTGGCAAGGTGAGAGCAACAAGCAAAGAGCTCTTTGTTTTTTTATTTCAATTAATACTTAGGGCCTTGAAGAACTTGCAAGAATGAAAACAAACAGCAGTCACTGAATCCAAAACTGCAGACAGAACTTCACTTTTTTATTATTACTAATTTATTTGTCCCACGTTATTATTTAAAACTTGCACACTTTTAAACCGTTGGGCAACTTCTTGAAGCAATGCAGACAAAGTACCTGGTTCAGGGGTACAACAGTAGTGACTCCCCTGGGATTTGAATCAACAAACTTCCAGTTAGGAGTCCAGAACCTTCACTACCACTCCACACACCTTTCCATATTGGCTTGGCATCCGTTATTTAAAAGATTGTTTTCTCCTGTGACTGCATGTGTGCACAAGCAGGGGTGTGTGAGAATTTAGAAGGCACTGAACAGCCTGCACTTCAATCCACAACCTTACATTGCTGACTTGAGCTACTCCAATTGCACCAGCTCACAGGATTATTAAGCAATTAGAGTTTCAGTTACTGGCAAATAATGGGAAAATATCTCCTCATAATGAGAGCAAATTATGTCTGTTCCGCGATAGAAGAAAACATTTAAATTGCAATGTTAAGCGTGATGCGTAGCTGGCTGCCTAATTATTCGTTCAGACAGAAAATGACTACACAAAGATTGAAAATGAAGTGCAGGGTCCTTCTAATTCACCCATAAAAATCTGCAGAGCCCTAATCGTAAGAGACAGAAGAAAACCCAAACTAAATCATAACAAGTGGTGGAAAACGAGCCCTGGCAGCCAAGCGTATAAACGGAAACCACAGGAGACAGAGGGCGGGGAGAGAGAGACCTTGCGCTTGACGAGCTCCTCCATCTTCTCCATGTCAGCCTGGAGCCGGCGTCTCTCCTGCTCCAGCTCCCTCACGCGTTTCTGCAGCTTCATGAAGAGACTCATGTCCATGGCCGCCTTCTCCAGGCCCATGTCCTGCCGCCGGGGAACAGCACACAGGAAGGAAAGACACCGTCAGGGACAAGAGACCCACCTGCAGGTCAGGAATCTGCCACAAGCAGCACCCGAACAAAGCCAGCTCCCGTGAGCAATGACCGCTGCCTTCTTATGGCAAGAAGCCTCTTTAAAAGCATATTTACTGTCATGTGTGAAGTAATGTGGATTAAAAAAAATGAGTTTTCAATCGAAAAACTTACTCCAATGTGCGTCAAGCGCTTACCACCTTGCAAAGTTCATGCTTCATTTTGTAAAGCAGAAAACATTGTTATTCACAGATCAGGAACTCCTGTACCTTTGCGCCAGGAAGTGATATATTAATATAACATTGCAGACATTCTGTCAGTGCAATTTTGCTTCAGGGAAAAAAAAGAGCTCTGATAACAGTGACCCTGAACAAGAAAATCCAGATGGTAAATTCACAAAAAATTCAAAGCATTACTGTAGATTTAACAATGAAATTATTTAGGCGGAAGTTGAGGAGAGTTTATTGATGACTTAGGTAGAAGGCAGCCACTGTGGTTTTTACAGGTTTTCAGCAAAGTGATGGCGTGGAATTACAAGCTCTCTGTAAGGCCTTGACTACTGTCTCAACCCTTACGAACCTTTGTTAAAAACTCCATTTTGGAGTGCTTTTAAAAACAGTAAAAATGTAAACATCTTTAATAATTAGAATTGATTTTCCACTAATCACTCGGACCCAGGCTCAGAAGGGCCGCTGCCTTACCTCCACCTGCTGGATGGCGTCGTCTGTGTCGCCCACCTCGGAGGTGGAGATGGAGGGGTAGTTGGAGTCTGACTCCAGACTGCTCTGATTGGACGGGTTCCTCCTGTGTCCGGGATGGAACTACGGACAAGGACAAGAAACGAAAGGTGTAAAAAGGGAAAGAATAAACACCCGATTCATGTAAAGCACCTCCAGGAAGCTAAAGCATTGTTTTCTTCCTAGCGTTTCGCATTCCTTTGCGGTCTTCCTGGCTTCTATTGTAATCCACATGCCTGGCAGGTCACAATTCAGAAAGTGAGTCAAAGCTCTTTGACTAGAGTGGCCAGCTCAGGTTCTGCCAGTTATTCAACTATTGAAAGAAGTCTGGCCCACAAATACATGCAGCAAGCAACAGACACTCACAATGCCAATGAAATGGTTTGAGTGACTTGAGAGGAATTGTCTTTTGAAAAAAGAAACACCACTTCTCTACAGAGAATTCACTCTTAACGGGATAAGATTTAAGATGATATGTACAAGATGATACATACCGACCCTATCTGTGGTAGAAAAGAGAAGACAACAGCTGGAGTCATACTTAAGAGATGGCTTCCCTATCATTCTCATGCAGGGTGAGGAATGAACCATATTCCTGCCCTGAATATTTTCTTCAGTAGGATACAAGCAACAGAAGAAGTCGAAAAACAACGTTGTCTTGTTTTTGAGATGTTTAGATAGACAGTGGGGATTCGAGCGAACTCCTACCTTGGCCAGAGAGACCTCGTCCTGCAAGTTCTCGTATCTCTGCTCCAGCCGGGAGTACTCCTTCACCAGGTTCTGGTAGCGCCGGCGCTCCTCCTCCAGCTCGGACTGCAGGTGGGTCTCCTTCTGAGAGACGCTGGTGACCTGGTCTGAGAGGAGAGCGACACGGGTTGACACTCAGACCGACCCTCCACACGCACGCGTCCCCTATTCCTTACGGCAGTGTGTCTCTCCATCACTCCACACTGGCAAATTATAAGTGTCAAAAAAGGATTCAAGGAAACTTTCTTCCCATCAGACCCAAGCAAGATTTATGATATACCCATGTCACGAGCATCAGCAATGTACTCTGAGCCTTCACTAGTATTTTCTACTATTACAACACATCGGACTGTGATTCATACAGCTCAAGGTAAGCTGGACAGGAACAGCCGGAATGATTTGTTGTAGTACTGCAGCTGATTAATCACGTTTACCAATCAGATTCAATTCAGTTGTCAGGTGTTCCTTGTCATTAACATCATTTGTTCCTCTCTAACAACTGACAAAGCTAAAAGGCTACTACATAGTACAGATCTATAAGGGTTAACAGTTATCTGACAAAAAAATGGCTTAACCTTTAGTAGAAGATTACCATGGATTTGCTGTCTTTCTGTATCAAAGACATGAAAAACATTCAGTATAAAGAGCAGAACAATTAAAAAAGTTTGAGATTTTTGCACCACAGTGTTTATTCACACATTTATATGTGATCACGCATCTACGTACACCAACTAAGGGTTTTCCCCAAACAAACCAGTGGTACTTTTCTGAGTCATTTTCAAGGAGTGGTTGTGCCACAATGAGAATGATATACAGTACAGTGCAAGACCAAGCTCTTAAGAGTGTCTGAGTATACTCTGTTTCATGCCTGGTGTCAAGCTGCACATACTGTACAACTGGAGTCAAATGAAGAAAGCTCACATGGCAAGACTCGATTCATATGCATTTTTTACTATTTAACACCCATCCGCTATCTGGAATCCTGTGTCAAAACATGCTGCAGCTGTGGAACACGCACACATGGCAAGTGTTGATTCATAAAAGAATGAAGGAATGCTCTAATGTTGAGCAATTTCCCCCCTTTAATTAAAAATAAACTCTGTCAGGATTGTCTCAAAACAGCGCTCATACAGTAAACCTGAGACATGGCTTCAAAATTAACTACAGCATGAAAAATCTGAAGAGCCCTCCTCTATGACAAACCTAGATTTTTATTAAAGAACATAAAAACAAAAAACACAGGTCCAAAAGTGAAATCAATGCATTCATAACAGCTCTGCCTTCTCAATTACTTTCAGTCAGATTTTCCTGCCCAAGCAGCCCAGACAGATGTGATACTGGCAGGTATCCAGGTTCTTTTGAGCTGATAAGTAGGACTTTTATCTTCTCTCCAAACTGCACGCTGAGCATTACGTTTAGCATCATTGTTATTGAAGTAGGCTGCATTTTCACTCCTCTGCACATTCGCATCAGTCAGGGAGAAAGTGCTGAGCTTCAGACAGCTCGTGCTGCAGCATCATGCTTTCAGCAATGTCTACATCAGTATCTGTTCATGCGACCCCACCCTCCCCAGTTAGTTGATGCTTGATGCTTGATGCTGCACTTTAAACCTGCTGGAAATGAGCTCTTTTGGGCAAATTTTCAGAGATGGCAATGGGTTGTGGAAATGATGTAAATCTTCATATTTAATCTATTAACAAGCATAAGAGAATTTTCTGAAATGAGAAGGTACTTTCTGACATTACTGAAACAATTCTGATGTCTTAAAGGTAGGAATAACATCCTTCTCTAAATATGTTCTCCTTTTTGTTAATTTCAGAGCTCTAGAATTATAATTCCTAAACAGAAAACTTTAAAAGGCACTGAGTTAGGGGCACTGAAGAGACCACCTGCTTCACACTGTCAAGAGCCCTGGTTGTACAGTTCCCAAAGCCTCATATTTCTTCAAAGGTCAACTGCAACCCAATACCCTTTCAGTCTGATCCAAGCAGACCTCACAGAAAGGCGTTCATTGTGAAAAGGAAGAAATGTTCTTTAAAAGGGCAGAACCTTCACATTGATACTCAAGAGAATATCTCCTGAGAAATGAAGTCATGGAATCCGAACTATAGGCTGCTTCTCAAGAAAACGAAGGAGTGGCTAGAACATTATGGTAAAAGCCCTGATGGATCCAATCCAACGTCTCTCACCTGCATTGTTCTTGGACTGGCGCAGAATCTTCTGGTTCATCTCTTCCTTCTCCTCCTTCAGCAGGGTATTCTCCTTCTCCAGATCCTCCACTCTCTGCGCAAGAGGAAACACTGTTCACTCACTGTTCTCCTCTCCCACTCACCATCTTTCTGCCTAATACTGTCAGCAGTGTTCTTGCTCAAAAGGCTTTTAGAAACAACTGAGATTCCTACAGTATGTACAAATACAGTAGGAACTGAAGCATTATCAAGTCTGTAGAATAATAGTGCTGTAGGGCTGGAATTTGTGATGGTTATGGTGTGTTTTTTTATTTGTTTTAAAGAGTGGAATTCTTAGATCTTGTGCTAGTTACAGGTGGAGTGAGAGACAGAGAGTGAAAGGAAATCCATACTATAAACACCCTATTTGTTTTTTTTTTGTTTTGTATTAACTGAGCTTTTCCAGATTGAGAATAAATTAAACTTTATAATGAAACCCAACATTATATGGTGGTAAGAGTTGGATTAAACCCCATCCTTCTTAAAAACATCAATGTTTCTATCTTTAGTAACTGAACTGAAAGAAAACACACCCAACAAACATCACACAGCCCAGTTCTACGTTAGTTGTATTTTCGCCTGTATCTAAGCCCTTTAAATGCCGGTTTGTTTAAAGGGTTAGATTCTGTCCTCTGCAGTACAGGTCTTACAACAGTTTGTACCCAGTGAGATAAACAAATCTTTGTGGGTCAAACACATTGAGAATAAGTGACCAGATGAGCAAAAAAGGTTTTTCAAAGTGAGGACATTTAGAAATATTGGTGTGTCGGTGGCAGAGGGATTGTGCCTGTAGATAGTCTCTGTATGCCTGAGTCTGTTTTATATATACTGTAGCACATAAACATAAATAGGTTTGGTAAGCATTAACATTATTGCTCAAGGCAGATTACACCTTGAATAGAAAATAATTCATAGGTGGCCAAATGTTTCTGGAAGAAGCAATGTTATACTCATCCTTGTGGCATTAGGTTCTGCCCAGTTATTATTCTGAAGAATTTAAATGATGAGAGAGAAAATCTGGCACTTTTAATGAACTGAATGCCTCCCTCCCTCACAAGACATCGTGTTTCCGAGTCTCCTCGCAAAACCAGGATTGCCGGTTGTGAGGGGTTGTGCAGCTCTAAGCGCAGAGACCATGGGGGTCTCACCTGCAGGAGGCTGGCCTTCTCCGTGGAGTGCTCCTCCTCCAGCTGTGTGTGCTGGGCTTGGGCTCTCTCCAGCTCCGCTCGCAGCCTCTCCACCTCTTCTTGCAGGGAGCTGAGCTGGTTGCTGTCTCCCTGCCGGCTGCGGAAGAGCTCCAGCTCCTTCTGCAGCTTCCCCACCTCTGTGGCGAAGGTGGAGTTGGCTGCCGCCAGCTGTTCGGTCTGGGCCTTGTGTTCCTTGCTCTATGGTAGGAAAAGAAATTGAGGGAGGTCTGGCTCCTTAAAACTAGATAAAGTGTTTCACTTCGTATCAGAAGAAATGTGATGCACATAAAACAACGAAAACAGTTAACTTGATGATCTTTTCCAGGTATCAATCATTTCTTACATCAGTGCACCCACCACTGTGATCTAACAGCTTTATATTAACTATGTTTAAGGAATAAACTACTGTATTTCTTTGAGCAATAAACATTTGACATCCAGACATTGAGTGTCTGGAATTCCAGGTACGGTTAAGGTATTCAGGACGTTGGAGGTCATTCCTCAAGGTGAGAGATGCTGGGGTGATGAGTGTGGCCCGACCGTTTCCCCTGTTCTCCGTGCACCATGAGCTTTGGGTTGATTCCAGCCACTCTGTCTCGGGCCCCGAGCTCTGGCATTACCTGCTCGTCCATTTTGCGCTGCAGCTGCACGATCTTGTTCTCCATGCCGATGTTGAGCTTTTTGAGGTGCTCCGCTGAGCGCGCCTCGATCTTGAGCTGCTTCAGCTGCCTCTTGGCCTGCAGGCGCCTGTACGCGCACTGGATGGTGATGGCAGCATTCCGGGCGCGCTGAAACTTCTTCCTCTCCAGCCAGCCTCTTACAGTCTTCTGAATGATCACCGCCTTGTGGTGCAGCAGGAACTGAGGAGGGGGAGATGGTTAGGGGTTACAAAACAACAACAACACGGCACTAGGAGCTAAGCATGTCCCCACATTCAACAAAAATGATACTGAGCGTCCAGGGAGGCTTTGTCTGTTGAAGTATTTAGTCATTTCCTCTACCTCCTATCCCTCTACACCAAATGCAACCTCTATCATTAGCTTGCAGTTACTTTTTGAACAATTATACCGCCTTATCTTATGAAAACATGCAGTTCGGTCAAAGTGAGGACAAATGCAACAAAGGGAGCAACAGCATCAAAGGGAGAAGAGATGCACAGTCTGTCATTGTTCCTCATGACGGCACATCAAAAGATGACCATGTGAAATACATCCACTGGACAGGTGCCGCCATGCTGTGGGGCGATCAGAAAAGACAGACACCTCGGGGAGTGCTCGGTAATTGCTCAGAACACAGCTGTGGCTGGGAAGCACGCGAGATGCAGTACCTCCTGATAAATCCGTCTGGTGAACATGCCTCTCGCGAAGGCCTGAATGGTTATGACGGCCTGCCGCACTCCGAGGTAGGCCCGCCGGTCGCGCACCATCCTGCGCTGCTTCTGGAACACCAGGGTGGCCCGCGTCCTTCTCAGCTGCTCCGCCAGCCTGCGAGAGAAACGAGGGGAAAGAACAGACATGACACCAGAACCGGGACGAGGATGAGGGCTGAGCGCAGGCAGCCAGCAGGTCCGGAACGCATCTTTCGGCGGCACTGACCTGCGGGCCAGGTAACCTCGGCCATATCTCTGCAGGGTGATGGCGGACTTCCGGATCTTTCTGTACTTGACCCTCTGCAGCCAGCCGCGCACCGTCTTCTGGATCTTGATGCAGGCCGAGCGGAACTTGTCCGCCCGCAGCTTCTCCAGGTAGGCCACCTGGCCAGCTCGGAAGAAGATCTTGGTTTTGCCAAATTGGAATTTGTCGGGGTCCTGCCAAGAGTGAAACAGTCACAAGTGGATTAGCCAAAAAAACCTCAGTAATTCAGAAAGGTCACAACCATGAGCATAAATATACAGCCAAATAGGAGCTAAAGGATGTACATAAGTAAAGATTTTCTGGTCAAATCCCTCACAACAAAGTATTACTAGCTGTTGTCATTAATTTTGAACTGCTGTCCTCATATGCACAGTGATTAAGATCCTATTAAAAAAAAAAGTTAATAAATAATTGTTTTTTTTGCAAGCACGAGACCTGTAGGACACAGCCAAGCTCTTTCAAGGACAGCAAATTCCAAACTGAGGAAAGCTCTGGTGGTGCTGGAGCAGAGAGGGAGGTATAAAGCAAAGAAAAATAACTAGATGAGAAGTAAAACATTTTAAAATGTTTAGTTAATAATAAACAACAGGACAGTAAAAAAGATTTGCCTGGATGTGAATCTTCGTTGAAATGTATTAAAACAAGCTGCTTTAAGGGAGGCGAGGGAGGATACAGCTTCTGCACTGCCCTATGCTAGGGAAAGGTTATTTTATTTCACATGCTACACAAAAGTGAGATAGTCACCGCTCAAAATGTCTGTGGACATAAAGCATCACCAGAGTTTGTTTTAAAATGGACCAATTTAGCTGATGTACACAAGGAGACAGCAAGGCAGGCCAACCAACATGAAGCAACAGACCCTTGAGAGGCATGTTACAAGGAAAAAACATCATCCCGTACCACTCCGAAACCAGGGTTAAGTAGGATCATGAAACATTTTCAGGGTACATGAAAAAGAAATTAAACATGATTCCTTGTATCTCACATTAGCTGGGGCAAGGTTCTCATCTCAATCGTGCCTCTTTTTTTGATCCCATTTAGAAACACCCAGACAAGCCTCTTAGCTGGCACAACAGCAGAACATATTGCCAAACAGAGAGGGATCACACAACTGGCTCTTTGCTCCTGTCGTGTGGGGAGAGGCAGAGGCAGTGACAAGGATGTGACTCGTACAAGAACTGAAGATGTAAAAAGGTTCACAAGCAAAAACTGGTTACAGTACAGCATGTGATGGAATGGAAAAATGAACAAGTTATATGAAATTGATATTATACAAATTGATACTGTATATCAGGGGTCTGCCAAAGGAAACAGTCCTGTACTCTTGTCTGGGTTTGGAGGTAGAAAACCAATGATCCTGGATCTTGATGACATTTTCTCAGTTGACACCATGAGGCTGATACCACGTCCCACATTAAAGAGCTTCAGCCCATTAACACAGCCAGGTCACTGAGGGCTATGGTGAGTCGGGAGAGTGTCCAGACACAGTTACACAGTAAGTTGTGTTGTTACTTGTGGTGGAAGTGAAACTGGAATTGTGGAAAACAGGAAACTCATACGAAAAAGTACAGTATATACATTCTTATAAAGGAGAGCTAAAGCTGAAGCATGTTCACTTTTTAAATCTTTTAAAGAGCGGTGGAGATGATGACACTCAGACAAGATAAACCTAAGGATGGTAATTAACAGTATGGCATGTGGGAGAGGTTGTTACATCAGTTGGTTCAGGAGTTTAAAGGGGTTTAAGAAATTGTAAATTTTACCAGACTAGTCTATTAGTGGAGGGTGGCTGTGCATTAACACGCCAGGAACTGCCAGTAGGTAAACTCTAATAAGCCGAACAGTTGGCTAACTCTATACAAGTTGTACCCATTGTTCAAAGACCTTGTCGATTCACATTATTGCTGAAGGTCAGCTGGAGAAAATCAGTAACCCGACTTCCTTCTTGAGCTATAACAAAAACCCAGAACTGCAGTGCAATCGCAAAAGCCAAATTTCCAGACATAAATCAATAGCTCTAGATCACAGAACAATATCTGCCAATGAGCTACAGCAGAGGTGACAGGAAAATAACTCTTGCCTTAATCAGGGTCTCCAGCAGGTTCCTGCAAACAGCTTTTTTGTCTGAATTTGTAGCGTCCTTCTTCTTCATCAGCACCCGGTACCTGTTGAAGAAGTCTGGGTAGGTCCACCTGAAAGCAGAGGACACACACCCAGGGGGTCAGGGCTGCTCCTAGCGAAGGTCTCATTAGTGGAGGGGTACTGACCTCCTAGGAGCACCACAGCTGGGGCCGCGATACGTCACTCCGTTACTGGTCAACGTCACAACCAATATTACAGTTTCTCCCATCAAAAACTAACTTGTTATTTAGTGCAAAATAAAGATTTGTATTTTTCTCAATCCTGAACACTTAAAGTGAAAACTTAAAAAAAAAATCTCTGAATCAAATTTGGTGTACAGAAGGCATTAACAATTACTTTGTACTTCTCGCAGTGTTTTAAACAGGAATCCCAACGAGTCCTCTCAGATATGGTTCTTCGTAACGTGCATTTTATTAGAGTGAAGCGGACCTTGGTGTTCGAGGTATTTCAATGTCACAGTATTTTCAGCATTTCCAGTTTGTGTTACCACTACCAGCTGGAGGAGCCTCAAATACCAGCACCTTATTCACTGCTTCATTAGAAACTCAGACTCAGCTTAGGTTTTCTTCAACAGTCCTCACCATGTTACAATCTACACTGCATGTAAAATATAACAGTTCTGCAGCTAAAGAGTATTTGGGACACAAATGAACCTGAGCAATGCAAAGAGCTGTAAAACAAACACATTAAGTACAGTACACTAAATATTAAGTATATTGCTTGCAGCAAACAGAAAAAAATACAATCAGGGGGACTGCAAGTATAATGTTAAATCACAGCTCCTGTGACATCTGCACTGATCATAACAGAGCATTCCTAAGACAAATGCCCCACAATGATTGATGCGGCTCCTCATGCAGGCTGTATTTAGGTCTGTATTCTGAATGAAGATATACAATTATTAGTTCCCTTTGGCTGCTCAAACTGCAGCCCTGAATGAGTGTTTCATTGAAAGGCACACACAATACCAGGATGTTCTGCAGAGTAGCTAGAAGATGCAAGCTTTCATCTTCTGTAAGCCTAGGAGGAGGATCTCTGTTCCATTTTGGAATGTAGGTCATGCAAAAAAAATACTGTATACAATGAAAGTTTGTTTTTGTATTACAGAACATTCTCCACTTCTTTTGTCATGGTGAGATTGGGTTTCTATGGCTGTCCCAGTCAAGAATCATCAGCAGCACAGCTCTGTATGTGCCCTGGGGGACTGTTTCAAGTAACATCAAATTCAGTTTTTGTCCAACTTGCTATTAAAAAATGCCAACGAATAGTCCTTTGCATCCCCTCAAAAGTAATTCTGAAGGATGTTTAAGTACTTTATTGATTGCGTCCCTTCACATTTGGACAGGTTACAGGAGTTTTCAACAGTTCAACTGAATAACTTTTTGTCTTGCTGTTCTAGAAACTTACTTCCTTTTTGTTAATTTGCTCACATCAACAACCTGTGTCCTTCAGCACAGTTGCTAATATATGTGCAGTTGTCCTTATGATGAAGTACCACAGCATAATTTCTGCCTAATATTTGTCATATGGAAATAGACAACCTCCTAATTATTTCTCTTCAGCTTCCATGCAGGCTTGAGATGCATGTATTGTTGGCAATTCTGGAATATCTGTGATCTGAGGTCCTTTTGGAAAATAAAAAATTCTGTGTCATCTGTGGATACAGAAAATATGTATCTCACCAAGGTACTCTACTGTAGTCTACAGTACAATGACTGATTGCACTGACATGCAATTCTGCAATAAATGCAAAGATGGACTGAGAGTAAGGCACAAAAGCACTGCCTTGACTGCTGGAATCTCTCAGGAACTCCCGGAGTGGACTTGTCTTCTACTGCCTGTCTTCCTTGAGGCACGTACAGGTATGTTGCCAGAAGAGTGTGTTGCTCTACTGCGACTCACCTGGATGGATACCCAGCGGCGCTGATCCGAATGGTCTCCAGAACCCCACAGGCCCGCAGCTGCTGCACTGCTCTGCTGGAGTCAAACCTGGAAAAGAAAACACAAACAACTGTCAACATTAATGTCTTTGCCTTCTCTTGGGTCAGGCAAGCTTCAGTCCGAGGTCTGATTTAAGGACAGGCCCGTATTCCGTTTGCTGATGATTGGGTTTTCAGAAAGCAGACCCACAGGAAGAGATTCAGCTTTGTGTCTGTGCCCTTTCTTAATAATGTCTCTTAGTCTTGTTTATGTGTGGTATATGAAGAAAGTACACCAGAGTGAAGTTCTATTACATGAATGTATGTAGTGATTCCGATTCTAAATATTGGACATAGAAATGGATGCCCAAAACTCAGTTTTTAACTGTAATATAACCCATTTACTTAGCTGATGAGTGCAACCTTCTTGTCAGAGGTGAAGGACGCGAACCAGATATTGGAAACACCACTACAGAATACATACACCATTGCATATTATTTCCAAAGCCATAAAATGTCTGGAAAGAAAGTTCTATTTTTACACTTGGGACTAAGCGACCTTGGTACGATGATTAAGGTCCACACTACTAATTCTAGAAGGCCCCTGACTGGGCAGAACCTCATCTTACATAGCACATTGGAGTGAAAAACTGGGTGGAAGTGTGTTTTCTACCACATCACAGCTCAAAGCCTGATACCCTGAGTACTCACGAGAAGGCCTTCTTCTCGTCGTTGGGCTTGATGCAGCGCACATAGTGAGGGGTGGTGGCGTTGAGCGTCTCCATGAGCAGGTGAAGTGAGTTGCGGAACTGGACAGGGAACAAGACAGGGAGGAGGAAGGTGAAAACCTGAAACCGAGAGAAGGTGCCCTGCCCGTCCCCCAGGGAACCTGGCAGTTTGTGCTTCTAGAACAAAGCAAGAAAGAAATTCCAAAATATGCACCAGAAACACTTCCCTTCTGGGCCAATGTGTTACAATGTGACCAGCATGAATTAATTACTCATTTTTCTTTCCTTTCTCCTGTGCATCTTTTTTTTTATAAGGTCATAGGTACTGTACATGACTTCTATATGACGGAAACTGTCAAAGAAAGGATCAAGACAGGAATCTGCAGAAAAGTAATCATACACTCATACAGATTAAGGGCAGAATAAACCATACAACAAGTGTTTGAATGTTTATTTGTCATATTGAAACAGCAGGTTTACTGGGTAGCAACTACAGGTTAACTGCAGGTTACTACACTACACTACAATTATATACAGTCCAATATCTACCTCCTCTGAGTGTCTGGATTGTCAGCACACGGGACTTCACTCAAAGAAGGTTTGACAAAAGTCTTTGACATAGATTGATGTTTAATATCTCACTTTATTCAATACTATATCAACCTGGTGCTCCAGAGTCATGTTATTGTCCATAGGACTTGCCTCTTCAACTTCAAAGAACAGTCGTTTCTAAAAACAGTGTGCCAGAAAAATTTTCCTCTAGGGAGAGAAACACTGTGAAAGGTGAACATCCACCATTTCAGGGGATAAGAGACTTTTTTAGCCAGATGTTCCTACTTTATGGTGCATATTGCAAAATAACCCATTACCACATAAAAAGTTATACCCACAACTCTCTGCAGCTAGCCTCCTGCCTACCTCTGACACGGTTGGCTAGGCAACTGTGCGAGAGAGGCTCACCTGGTGCCCCACGGTTTTCCTGTGCTCGCGGTTGGGGGCTTTGAGGGCCGGCTTGGCAGCCCTCACGTTGATCTTGGATCCCTTGCTGGAAGGGGTGGGCACGGGAGTGTCTTTTCCATCTTGGAAGAGGTCAGCCACCAGCTGGAACTGAGAGCAAAGCAACTGATAAACGACAAACTTGTCTGGATTTCGGAGAGATTTACCAGCACCAACAACCATCATTTTTGGAAAGTGCTGGACATCACAGTAAAGGACTTTGAGATGTTGAACTCAAATTCAAAAGATGTGCAGGACATGTGAAAAGTAAGAGCTGCTTCTTACAGGTAAGGTAACATATAGTATTTAGAGGAAGGGACATATAATATTGCACATTTCTTTAATACTGGGATGTGCTTTTTAATATAAGGTATGCATGTGCAAATAAAATTCCATATTGAAAAAAGGCCTAGAAGCAGACAGACACAACAGGCCAGTGCTTCAGTCAGGGAGGATGAATGAGGGAGCTTTCACTTGCCCCTATCACCAAGGAATGTAAGCAGAGCTGCATGTGCTTGCGAAGAGCAAGGCCAAGCATAAACAACGATGAAAAAGATCAGTTACAGATTATATAAAACACAGAGAGAATGGGACTGATAACAGAGCCAGCGCTCCAATGTAATCTGAATTGACAGATGGGATTCTCAGCCACTGTGCAGAAGCTGTGATGTTTGCAGAACAACGCCATGACTGCTGTGATAAAAGCAGCCCACTGGTAAGAATACTGTCCCCCATCAAGACATTCTTCCACCTCACAATAACCCAGGCTGGGTTAAGACAGAAGCAGTCAGAGGCTGGCCAGAGAAAATGTAATAAGATTCAATCTCCGCCAGGGTCTCCAGGGATCTGAAGTGTCATAGGGCTGGCCAGGGGCTGTTGGAATAAGCTGGACTGCAGCAGGACACTGTGTCTTTGTCCCTAGCTTGTAGGGGTGTGAGCTTACAGTGTTGTCATTGTCTCACTGGATGCCAGCCCTGTCCTGGGGACTGAAGGGCTCAGAGGGCTCGACTACAGATTACACTTCAGACGGAGGTGTGTGATTGAACTATGGCCATGCGGATGGGTCTTTTTTGCATCGGCTCAAGAGTTCCAAGGCCTACCTTGCTGGCCTTGAGGATGTTGATTTGCTCTTCATACACAGTGTCCCGGTTCTTCTCCAGGAATCCGTCACACTGGTACTCCACCTGTGCAACAAGAAAATGACATGTACCAGCCTGTCACTTGCTGCACAGCCCTCGTCATGACCAGATAACCAGGCCTGCCCTCTCATAATCAACCTTTCCTTGTTATTGTTTGGCAGTGATGACTGGAGATCGATCCAGGTCAATGCTTAAGTGCTGTGCTAGACCCTGATATGATTTTAGGAGACAAGCTGAAGAAGTTTCATTTACTCCAAGTCATAGTTAAGCAGCAATGAAAGGGGTAAATGGACTGAATTATTTAAAAAATGCCTACTGTTTTGAATTAGTGTGCATTCAGTTAAACTGCAGAACATTAAAATGTATACAGGCTCAAATAATGAGATAGGCAGATACAATCTTGCTGGGGTAGAAAGGCTTTTTCCAGCTTTGCCTCAATTTACCTTTTAATAATAAGACATCCAGTTCTAATTAAGATGAGGGGACTGCTGTCAACAGGATGGATATGTGCTCCAGATTTGTGCACACTAGGTCCTACAGAGCCCAAAAATTTACAGCACAATGGTGAGCCCTGCCCTGGACTGGAATCATTCAGACTCCAGACTCCAGTGTGTCTTTGGCATAGAAACTAGAATTCAATTAGTGTGCTGCTCTCTGCAAAGCATGATCATTAACACAACACCAGCGCTTGCCTCTCCTCTCCTCCTTTTATTTCACTCACGTCCATTTCTTTGCTTTGCATTTCTTGTCAAGCCAGCATTGACATTTCATTATGAGAGAAGAATCAAAATACCTCAAGCGCAAATTGTCTGACTACAGACCAGCACAGCACGTTGGGCATTCATTACCTGAAAGGTTACAAGAAAGTAGGAAACACGAGCACTGTTAGGGCAAGCCTTTCCAGTGTCATGCTGCCTGCCAGTTGAACCAACTCCTGAAGCTAACTGCTAATGTCAGGTCCCTGGAGTGGCAAAGACCATGAGTCCTCTTCCTCTCCCAGTCTGTGGAGATGACACACTGTTTCCTGATTCTCAAGAAATGCTGGTGCGGACTAGAGTTATAACAAGCCAGACAATCAATGCAGTGGAATGAGTCCCGTGAGACAACAGCGTAGTAAAAAAAGGGTTTTCTGTTTAAACTCGCTCTGGCTTCGCTTTTCTTTATCTGTCAACAGCTGTCACAGAGGCCAGACCGGCTTGCAGACAGGAGCATCTGGCGTAACTGTGCCGTCTCAGATACAAGCTCCTGGCCGGAGAACACAGCAACACGTTAAGGCACAGAAATCCTGGAGGAGCTGTGCAGTAGTACAGTATATTGAAATGTAAGAACTGTACAATCATGTTGCACCACTATGCACCTCACACATAGTTTTACAGGACACATGGAAAATGACTATTCTGTAGTTTTCTGTTATTATATTTTCAAACATGTGCACTATTTACACACTTGTTACAGTGTATTCCTATGATGAAGACATGCTTATGACTGGCAACATGGGAAATGGAAAACGGATAATGAGCCCAGCCCGACACTGGAGAGCCCAATCTGATGCTGGAGAGCACAGCCTGATGCTGGCTGGTGGGTGGGTGTACCAAAACTCTCAGTGTGGCACACCACGTGATGACAGTTGGCACAGACAATGCACCTGTCTGGCACTTTGATGATGAAGAAGGGGACAGTGAGTTTCCAAGACACCCAGGAGCCAGCTTCTGCCTTACACTTTATTAGAGCAATGAATCACATTTTTATGATGCCAGTCAGTGTTGATTTATTGGTTAGACTGCACTGCAGTTTGGTGCACTCTTATTGCCAAAACACAAACACTTCTTTCGCATCAAAACAGTTAAAATGCTCCTCTTTGCAAATGTTCACTGTGGTACATCATGACAAAATCAGTATAGGCATGAACAGCAAAATCATAGTAAAACAAGGTAAAAAAAGTTCAACCTATCAAACGGTGTTGTGGGGAAATAAGATATCAACATCATAAAACAACCCTAGGACAGCTCTAAAATGTACCACGCAAATTTATCATGGCAGAATTTCACAGAGGAACACACCCTGTTCATTCCGTTTTCCCAAAGTCAACGTTTTAATTTCCCAAAAAATGGAAATGGGTTGAGTTCAATTTACGCAGACTTAAAAATGCTCAAAATGATATGTCTGATCAGAAACAATGATATGACATCACAACACAAGAACAGAAGAGCTGCAGGTGAAAACAGGAGACCACCGCAGTCCTCTTTCTGGGCTTATCAGTAGCCCTCAAGGTGTCATGAGGGTACCTGTGGATTGCACTCACCTTGTCTGCAAAGTGCACTATGATGAAGGAGGTGTTAGACATCCTTGGCTTCTGAAAGTGCTGACAGTTGGAATGCCTATCATACAGCTTCTGCGCCCAGTTCTGGTCTGTCCCCTTGGGCACCTGGCATAACACACACACACAAACAGCTTTTCAGTAAAGGGCTTGGCTCAGACAATCTGGGTTCTCACACAGGGGACTCTTTCATTTTTTTTTGCCATTCTTCCAGGCTCATCCCTGATTTCCTACTCTCTGGGTCAACTGCCTGCAGCACAGTGCCTAATGCCTTTGCTGTACACTTCTCTTCTCTATGGGCAGGGTGTACCTTGCACTCCTCGTCCAGCAGATCCAGGATGCCCAGCTTGGCCTCAATAAGGTCGATGCAAGGTTGGTTGTCATAGAAGTCGATCAGGGTCCAGGGGATCTGCTCCTTCATGTACTCCTCCTGCTCCAGTTTGAAGACATGCTGCAACACAACAGGCCAGGGCAATGG